ATTAATATAACAATGAATAATATACTTACAAATCAAAAAAGTCGAAATTATATCGAAAAGTGGCATATATTTAGAGGATGGAAGCACGGGTGTAAGGTTTGTGACGAATGCAACCATCATTCGCATCTATATTGCAAAACATGTAAAAAAGTGGCGGAGGGAATATATAAGCGATGTGAATGTGAAAATTCTCGAATTAACATTAACGTTAAATAAAAATAAATGGGTTAATAACGATAGTTTTAAATTTGTATACTCTGTTAATCCCACGGTTATTAGTATCTGGTTATATTCTACGTATAATATTGATATTCTACTAAATTCGGACAATTAACTTATGACACATTTATTCGTGTAACGAATTTTTAAATTTTATTCGCAACACTTATCGTTATAGCAATAGGAAAGATTAATACTAAGCTTAAGATCTATCTTAGAACTAATACACTTCTAACCAAAACACATATGTACTTTTTTATAGTTTTAGTTTTACTAAAGGTTCTACTAGGTGGTCAAGTGAAGTGTAATACATAGCGATCCTTCTCTACGTTGCAATGCCAAAGATGCCGAGATCTCCAATGCACATTCCGCATGTCTAAGGGTTACCTTATGTCCAACGTAGTGTAGAACGTAAAAAAATGGCGTAAAGTGTGCATAGGTCTTCTTTTCGTTATTGTTTTGTCACAAGAAATAAGGCGCTTCCAAGCTTCTTGTGCCAATGAAGGAGGTAATTGATAAATCAGAACTGCAGAACAAGCCTTTAATAATGATGAATATGACTATCATTACGGGATCGTTAACCGCAGGTATGTTAATTTTCTCGTTTTATTTTTTAGCAATGGAATGGCATTTCATTATATTTTCGACTGACGGACTTTATTGTACAGTACCAGCGAGGATGAATATTAAATAAACCTCTCAAAAACCGCGATCAAAGAAAATATCGATATTCTTCGAAACAGTGTACAACGAATAATTGGAATCATTGTGGTTTGTTAAAAGACAGGATAACAGCAAGTAACAGTAAAAGGCGTCGTGTACAAAAAAAATAAAACAATAGATTATATTTCTGCTTAAGCTTATGTATTTCACTATATATATTTTTTTATCCTGTATTTTTATTGTAATAAAGATTTTTGGTTAGAGGAATGTACAAAGTATCATGTGTTATTTTTTGTGTAATGTATAACAATAATTTTTCCGAAATAATTTTCTTAGCAAAAGTGATCGGCAAGTCTGATCGTGACATTTTGTCACGGTTTTTTTCGTAAACATGTCGACTTCTGCTCACGTAACCAACGGCAAGTTTACTTTCTTAGCACGCTCTATTTGAAACTCTGTGATTTCTAAAGTTCCTTTTTATACTGTTAGGAATCTCGTTAGATGATCCTGATTTCTTTACTTTGGACCGCGAGTGGACACTGTTAAATTTTCTGTTATATCGACAAAAATGTTCTGATTTCTGTGCCGACAAGCATGAAGAACACAGCCGGTATACTCGTAGCCTTGCTAGTATACTCAGTTACGAACAACAATCCCCGGAAATGATTAAACTGGCTAGCGACGCTCTTAATTTGTTACAAGTTAAGTATTACTTTTTGGTGTTTTGTTGGCAGTGGACGGGTCTCAAAGGGCAATAGCCTTTTTGGATGGGGTTGCGATCTGCGTTCAACCACCCAACATCCTTGGTTGCGATCGGGGATGGTTAGTTGCGACTCGGGTGGTTCCGTCCTGCTGAAATGTGTTCAACCACCCAACATTCCTGGTTGCGATCGAGAATGCTTGAGTTGCGATTCGGGTGGTTGTTCCTGACGAAATGTGTTCAACCACCCAACATTCCTGGTTGCGATCGGGAATGCTTGAGTTGCGATTCGGGTGGATGTTTACACATTTTTTCATTAATATCTATCACTTCTGATTGTAATTGGGAGCTTGTGAGTTGAGACTCAGGTGATTCCGTTTCATACAAATTTGATTTTTTTTATTAATAGAAGGAAAAAAAGTCAAAATCGATTGATAACTTCTGGAAGACGGCTACGTTAGCGCAAGAGAAGAAAGTGGCAAATGAAATCGAACGTTCAGTTTTGTTGGTATGAGATATTCCGGCAATATAACAAGGTACACAGCAAACGTGAACACTAACTTGTCTATTATAACAGGATGAACTCGCTACATCCGCTGTACACTCAACCCTTCAACGTGATAGGCAAGAAAGTTTGGTTCGAGAAAAAGTTACAAGACGATTAGAGAGTATAGATGATGATCGCACGTACAAGCGTCACAGGTCACAGTCTCCGAACATTGAGGTAGTTGAATGGCCAGCTTTTAATATGAAATTTACTTCTTACCTTTCCCATCTTCGACGTGTTTATCAGAATAATCAAAAAGAAAATAGCACGGAAGCGATTAATAATGAACAAAATTTAGGTGAAAAGCGAGTTGGGGTAGGTTTCTATAAATGATCAATTGTATGAAACATCTTTCTAACTCGTTTGTTATGACGTTCTTTAGGAAGAACTCGTGAAACAGTATGATTTGAGAGAACGACAAGAAATCAACTATGCCGAAATTTCAAGCTCAGACATTGATCCACATCATGTAATTATTCTTGTTACTTTTTTTGCGCAATAAAAAATATACAATTCTCATTCATTTTTTATTTTGTTGTTTTGAAATCTATCAAGCTTCAAGCATTTGACCCTCTGCGAAACAATCCGGATTCTTCTGTTATTTCGTTAAACAGGCCAATCATAACGGAAGTAACATATAACCTGATTTCTACACATATAATTTGCGCATTTAGCTTAACATTACATTTAGTCAGAGAAACCGTCGATGAAAGTTTATTTGAGAAGATCGAAAAGCTTCTTAGAATGAGAAATAAATTGATATTAGACAAATCGATAACCTCGAAATTGGAGGCAATTTTTCAAACGGACTATGCGGAAATTAGTTCGAAGATAATAACCGAAACTGAGGTTGAAAAAAATATGAAAGCGAGCGAGGAATCACGGTTTCTCTTTTTTATCCGGCACACCCTCCTAGATTTCACCGCGATGTATGAATATATGTCGCCTAAAGTGTTAGCTCGAGATATGTCAGAAAGGTCGTATATTGTAGAATGCCTTTCACCCATACTTCGATCTTTTAGGAATGCATTTCCTGAAATTAGATACGAGTGGATTGAAAAGGATGTCAAATCCATAAGGGATGCTCGCAATATGTTCGCAATTAACATAAGGACTCGGAAAACTGATTTGTTAGTTCTGAGACTATCAGACGCAACTGAAATTTTACACGTTGAAGTATCTGGACCACCTTACAAACCGGAAAAGAAACATACAGTTGGAGACGCAAAAAAATTACTCATGATGGCTGTTTGTAATTTATGCAGAATATTGGCGAACAATTTCGATTGTCCTATTGAAATTGCCAAGAAAGTCAGATCGTATTGTATACAGGCAATTGGGGATAAATTGACATTATTTGCCTTATCACTTGTTGACAAGAAAAAATATTTGGCCATCGAATTGGCTTCATGCATAATTCCCTTTTCGCTTAAAACCATTGGATGCTACACAAGAATCTTTAATTTTTTCAAGATCATAAGGAACGAGTTTATAGAACAAGAAAAGCTTCTAGAAAAAATTTGTTCTTTTGTGCCCTCGATCGATGATAACAGTCGATCGAGATGTCACACCTGATTTTTTATCATATGATTTTCATAAATTACACAAATCGATGAAATCACGTTTT